CCCGTTTTTCCATTAAGGAATATGAGTGTGGCTACATATCTGGCCTGAGGTTACAGGCCTGGGATAGTGCAAAGCCAGGCCTACAGAACTTAGTCCTTTTTCTGTCCTCTTAGAGGACTTTCAGTCACAGGCTTCTTCCAAAAATCCTTCCCACTATTAGAGGTGGGTCCTCCATTTTATTTTTAGCTCATTTAACAAAAATAACCTTTACAGCATTCCAGTTTTGTTTTAATTGGAGCTAGGCCTATCTCTAGGATAGAGAGAAGAAACAAAAAATGGCTATGTGATGTGGTGGAAGAAGCGTGGTGCCTGGCTTCTGGAGCTCTAGGTCATTCCCATTTCATGCAGATGCCTGTGTGACTTATACCACTTCTCTTCGTAAGCTGCTTTCCTTACCTATCAAGGGTACAGGACTGGGCATTCTAAATTCCTTTCAGCTTTACCACTTTGCAGGTTGACGGTGGAAAAATGGGCCTTACAGATCAAGGGGAGTTGAAGGTGACCATTCTGTTGAGAGATGTCTAAGGAGTGTCTTAACTATCTTCAAACGTTTGAGTAATTGTTGCAGTAACTGTTTCTTGTGTCTCTAGTATTGACAGAGTAAGAAGAAATGGTCTTGGAATGAAGCAAGGGGGAAGTTTGGTTTGATGGAGAGGACTTTCCGAGTGTACTGCTGGGTAAATTCTGGGGCCAGAGCCCAGGAGAAATGGTAGAGTCACCACAGTAAGAAACAGGACGGACAGCATTTGTGTTGGGGCTTAAAGTAGACTTGACTGAGACAGGCATTGAAATGCTAGTTCCCCGGGGTCCATACCAAGGAACACTTTTAGACAGTTATTAAATTAGGCATTTTATGAATCCAGAAATTGGTCAGTTTGCTAATTCTTTAAGATGATTTTCTTGTTCTTTTCAATGAAGAATCAACAAGGTTGGAAGTACCCAGGACTGAAGGTCCACGAACACAGATCCATTACAGGAAGTGTTTCATTGCTCACTGATCAGTGTATTTCTTAGCATTACTAAGCCTTCATATTACTTAAAGGGAACAGAAAAATCCACATTGATCCTGAACTTAATGACTAGTAAGCAGCACATTTAAGTGGAAAAGTGTAAGTTTTAGTGCACTGGTAAAAGGATGGCGAACTTATTTCACCAGTCGGCCACCATGGAAGTACAAGCCAACTCTAGATGAATTGTCTCGGTGCTCCATTTCTGGTACTACACAATCCCCACGGTTGACAGTCAAGTGGCTCACCACTGCCCCCGCCCGAGGGTGCAGCTTTATGACTAGAAATTGTTTCAGGGCAGAACTCAGGCTGTGCCCCTAGACCAGTGGTATTGAAGCAGCCTGTCGGTATCATTAAAAGCTCTAAAAAGTCCCCCCATTTCTGTTTCACAACACCTCCACTACTAAAAGCAAAGATACAGTGGTTGAGCCTTAAGAAAGGTGCCAAGACTTCAGGTTTAGTGACATTGTTTGCTAATGTTGAATTGGTTCATCGGTAAATCCACAAATCCACCCCAGAGGTTGTAGAAAAGTTCCAAGTTGTAGTATCGCTGGAGTGTTTGTTACTCTGAGAAAAAATGTCTTTAATAAGGACAGCACTCAGCTGGGTCTGGCAGGTTGTTAGCTTCAGTACCTCCCTCCCAGCCCATCACAAAATCCAGCTGGCTTTTGCTACTCAATAACTCTCCGATCTGTCCCCTTCCGTGCTGTAAGCCATCAGCACTCCCTGCCTGGAATAAAGGCCTGTCCTTTGAACTTGCTTCTCTGTACCCTCTCTGACCCCCTTGACATTATTCTTCATGCAGTAGCCTTTGGATCTTTTTAAAAAAAATACAAATCTGATGTCACTTCCCTGCTTAAAACTGACCAGTTGTTTCCCGTTGCATTTAGCGCCGGAGCAGAATTCTTATCTCGGTTCACAGGGCCCTTCTGCATTGTTGTCTTCCCAGCACTCTCACAGTGGTGTAGGAACTAAAATATACGTCTGTCTATAGTAGTGCATAACTTGACCTCTTGTGCTCACGTCGCTCACGCAGGCTGGCTGCTGTGCTGGCGGGAAGTGCCCTGCCGCACTGGCAGGCCTGGGGAAACTAGCAGCCACCAGGTTCTGAGAACCAGCTGTTCTGCACCCACGTTAGTTTTCTTAGTCTGGCTACAGAAATGAATGCTATCAACAGGAACCTGTGGTGAACACTACTTTGCTTCATTCTCTTGTCTTTAGATCTAACATCTGCACGGTTCTTTGTTCCAAACTCTGTACCGGAAACCCAGGCTCCTAGGAAGCCGCATCAGTCACGTTAGTGGGTCATGGAGCAGAGAGAGCGCTCATCACCTGGGCCCGCCCTGCGCCGCTCATGCAGTCAGCTTCCTCGCACTTGCTGTTGGAAACAAGCTGTTGCAACCACCAGGAGTGGCACTGAGCTCCCTGTGTACCCTTCCTCCTCTTGCCAACCCTCTTAAGACTTCATCTTTAATCCCAGACAGCTGTGAGCCCAGCAGGCCAGGCCAGGTCGTGCTGCTCCCAGCAGTATCTAGCCCCAATGGGTAGGAGCTCAAGCAAAATGTGTTGGGTGAGCGATGAGTCTGGGGTCAGTGTGTTCTTACTAATAAGTACTACCACCACAGACCTATTCCTGAAAGTCATTCTGTGGTATCGCTCGGTGGTGATTAATTTTAGAGTACTGATCAAGTGTGCTTCATAGGAAATGAATCAGATGCTTCCCGCTAATGTTTTTTGAAGCTGCTCTCATCATCATCAACAAGCAATGAAGTATGGTCAATTTGAGTTTGAAAAAGTCAGACAAGGATTCAACTTCTGTTCACTTTTTTGTTACTTAGAACCACTACCAAATAAATTAGAACTTAATCAGTATTTCCAGTAGTATTTGTTACTTAAGATGGGATATACTATGCTTTAATAACAGATAAACTTCAGCATCACTGTGGCTTAGCAAGGCCATGGTTATTCGACACCCTCATCATGGTCTTTCTTGAACCGTGGTGGACCAAAGCAGGAGCCAAGAGTGATGGAAATGAAGGGCAGCATCTGAGGTGTGTTTTTAAAGGTAAGGCCCAGAGGTGGCTTACACCCCAGAACCCAGGGTCACGGTCCCGAACTGCAGGAGGGGTAGGAAGTACCAGAGCCTATGGAAGCTGGGTGAGCACCACCAGCCTCTGCCACATGTATTGCCTGTCACCATTACGATCAGCTGCGACCCACAGACTGAACACTTTACACACATTTCTGTTCCCAAAATCTGATACGGCGAGTGCCTTTGGCCCCTTTTTCTGTTTGACACTGAAGAAGTTAACCTGAGGTCATATTTGGTAAGAATTCATTTCACTCCCTTTAGTGCCCTGAGAGTCATGCCAAACCCTACCCACTGCTCTCTTCCGAACCTCTCTGGAGGTGAACAGTGGGTCTTGCAAACATCTGCATAGTGAAAGAATCAGAATTCAACTTTAGCTTCTAAGAATGTCGCACTTTAGGCACCTGATAAACCCCCAAATTCTCGTTCCTTATAGACCACTGTGATAGTTGCAACCCCCCAAAACCTCCCACATGCACAGAGCACCTCATGCCAATAGCACAAGTCTGCAGCTTTTACTAGTTACTGGGGGTCTCAGTGAAGGATGGCCTTTTTACTGTGTTGGCACTCACAAAAAAGATTTCATTCAGGGCCCCTCCACACACTTGAAATGCACATGCAGGATGTTGGGACTGCGTTTTAGGGCCTGGGTTGTATACCATTTGGAAAAAACATTACATTTCACAACCAACAACTGTGATTCCATTCATAGAGATCCTGTGGCCAGTGGTTCTCAACCTTGGCTATACCTTAGAATACTCCAGGGAGCATTTAAAACTCCTGATGGCCAGGCCACTGCCCAGACCATTCACTTACAGTCTGTGGGTATCATCATTTTTAAAAGTATCTCCAGTGAAGTCCTAGCTAAAGCTGATTTGAGAACCTCCACTGTAGACTGATAATTTGCCAGAATTAGGAAGGGTAATGAGAGACACGGGAGAAAAACAAGACCTTCCAGAATTATTTGTTAGCTTAACATGACAGCAGACTCCTTGAGGAATTCAAGTTAGCTACAGTAACCTTAATTTTTTCCCCACAGCAAATACAGCCAACACAAATGTTGCTTAATTATTTAAAAATGTACCCAAGGCCCTGCAGCCTGGGATTGTTTTTGTAGCACGTTTTTTCAAAGTAGTGATCCTTTAACCTTTGTGCCAAAAATTTTTGTATTAAGTCAAAATCCTATAATGTTATTAATGACAATATAATTGTGGGAAATGTCATTTTGAAAATAGGGCTAGGCATGGTGGCACATACCTGTAATCCTAGCTAGTTGGGAGGCTGGTGCAGGAGCATCCCACATTAATGGCCAGCCTGGGCAACTCAATAGGATGCTGTCTCAAAAAATAAAAGGGGCTGGAGATATAGCTCAGTGCTCTTTGGGTTCAATTCCCAGTACTGCAAAACAGAAAAAACTGGTGACAAGGTTGGGTGGGGGAGTTTGTCAAGCAAGAATGACTGAATGTTGTAAACATATATTACACACAGGTTTCAGTAAACAAAAATAGAAAAGACTTGTCTCATTAAATGGTAGTTAAAAGCTTGGAAATATGCTTAGCAACTGATGTGAGGTTTTTGTTTTGAAAGGTATTTGTCTCCATCAGCCTGACCCTTACTTACTTGCTTAATTCCACTTTGGGTGAGAAAACACAGCGTGCTTAGCTTGCTCTGCAGATTCCCACTGGACCGTTGTTTTCTTTCCACAAATCTTCATGCTGTCGGGAGTTAAAACCTTGTAAAACCTTCATAGGGGATGTGGGGTGGAGCCCTTTGGACATCAGGCCAAGATTTTTGTTGTGACAGGATAAATACTACTCATAAGGCAATAAACTCAGATGATTTATTGCTTTAAGTAACTGAACAGAGAAGAGGCGAGCTGTTGTTTCAGTCAAGACAATTGGCATTCTCTCTCCAAGGTTTGCCAGATGCGTCTACTTAAAGCTTTAACAATACTTTCTGGACAATATAAACACGTGACAGACACAGCATACATGGGTAACAACTTGGCCAATGATACACTGATTAAAATAGCACACAACACGGGCACCCAACCAGCCCACGGCCCTGAAATGACAGAAATAACATGTATTCATAGGATGTGCTGAATACAAAACCTTTTTAAAAATTTTTTTTGGCATTAATACTAACAGAGAATATCTTCCTGAACATTCTGCAAGAGCAGGTACACACAGAATTAACCTCTTCATTTCCAGATTACCGGTATCTACAGGACTACTTTGAGAAAAGCCAGGAGGCTGGGCACCTCCCCTCCCCAGCGTCACTTCTTTGCAAAGCAGCAGGGTTTAGGTGGAGAAGGGCAGCTGATAGGGCTCCAGGGGTGGTTTAAAGTCACCAAATGCTGCACAAAGCGACACTGCCCTGGCAGAGTGTACGAGGGAACAATAGCTTTGTTGGTAGCCAGGGATTTGACCCAGATGCACCATGGATGTCCTGTGGGACATTATCAGGCACTGGATGGTCCAGATCCTCTCTTCAGAGGAGTGGGGTAGAGCCAGGGCTGGGCCTCCAGCCCTAAGGTCTAAAAGAGGTACCCTGGCCTTGCATTCTAACACAGGGTCATTACCACACCTTGCAAATGGATGTGCAGAAACCAACACTGTCAGGAACTGGCCCTAGGAGGGCCCACGTGAGCTCAGAAGGAGCAGTGAAGCCAAGCCAAAGGGTAACACAACACCAGGGCAAACCAGCTGCTGGCAGGGTGCCTTGGGTTTGCCCACTTGTCTAGCTGCCGCGCAAACTCAATTTTCTGGTGTCGGAGTGGGTTCTCCATCAACTTCCTCTGCACCCACATTCCTGGCATCCTCTCCAGGATCGGAGTGCCTCGGGGCTGAGGGCGCCCTGCTGTACACAGCAGGTCCGTTCTGCACAGCCCCACCCTCCAGGGCCTTGCCAGCTGGCGGGCTGCCAAGGGACAGCTTTTCTTCCCTGCCCTCTTCCACAGGGACTCTCCTCTCGGAGCCTCTGCCCTCCTGCTGCCTGCCCAGCACACAGTTTCCCACATCTCCATCTTTGGAAAACTGGTCTTCTAAATTCTTCTCATTTTCTTCGACTTGTCGTTTGTCTCTGAGTTTACCTTTGGATTTCCTCATCTGCCTGCTGTGCATTTCCTCTCGGGAGAATCGCCAGTGGAACTAGAAATCAGAGAAGGTGGGGGTAAGTAAGTGCAGGCTCTGTGACCCTACAGCTTCACCGGAAGGGTGTGTGCGTTCACTCTCCATCGTGTCTGTGAGCGAGACAATTCCCAGGATTCTGACAGCAACATTAGGCTTGAATCATAGCCCAAACCACTCCTACCCACCTTGGGGCCTGCCCTGGGCTTTCCACGGCCTGCATTCTAGATGTGGGTTTTGGGTGCCATGAGTGTGCTCTGACCGGTCCTATGCGGAAGTGGGAAAGGGGGCAGGGACTTAAAATCCTAGCTTTTGGAGGGCCAGGATCGGGGAGAAGATGGCAGGCTGCTGGTCCTGGGGATCACTGGACTGCAACTGCTGACTTCTATCCTGACTATGCTGTAGGGTACCCACCTGTGGGCTGGCATTCTCTCCCCAGCTCCCTTGACTGAGGCAGGGCACAGTGTGAGGGGCAGACACTGTGCTACACCACCCAGTGCCACAGGACTGGTAGGCTTCTTCCCCCAGCCGCCAGGACAGCTGCTGGCTGACGGCCCTTAAAACTTTCTCTACCCAAATTTATCTCAGCGGTTGCTTCTCCCCAGGGCACGTGACCTGCAACCAAGTATCTCCCCATGGGACAGGAAGTCGGTAAAGACTCAGGGTCCCAAGGTCTCACAGCCAGTAATAGAGCTGAGAAGGCACCTCGTCTTATCAAAGCTTTGCAGTGAGACTGCCTGGCAAAGGTTCAGCCCTGCCACTCACTGGCCAGATTCTCTGCCTCACTTTTCTCATCTCAGGGACCCGCACCACACACAGGGACTTTAGTTTTAAGTTTCTACCATGGTCATTTCCTTCTGATTCAGTTGCACCACACTGGTTACACCACATACGTACTTAGATCTCAGATGCACTGTGATTGAAAGAAACAACGGGAGCCTTCAGTTCCTGAGATGCCATACAGGGCTGGAGATGGGTGCCGAGGAATGCAGTTGCACCATCAGCGGGAAACCTACCACGTTGTAAGTCATCCCGAGTCCTTTGCTAGGAAATCTCAAAAAATGTTTAAAAACTAACCCACTTTTGCAGAGTTTTCCATGGCAGAGATCGGCTTCTTCAAACACAGCATTTGCCTAAACACCCCAAGGTTCATCGGCTTAAACATCATGGGAGGGGCTGGGGTTTGACTCAGTGGCACAGCGCCTGCCTGGCAAGTGTGAGGTCCTGAGTTCGATTCATTGTACCAAAAACCAAAGAAATAAACATACATCATGGGATTATTGGATTTTATATCTTTTGGACAAGACTGGTAAATCTGAATTCCATCAGAGGAGAGAAAAAGTAATGAAGTGCTTGTTAGGGTTAGGATTTGACATTTATCCTATCTTTCCCTACCTCACCCTCCCAAAACCTAGTGTTGGGTGGGTTTTCCCTTTGTCACTCTCATGCTACAGCTAGACTTCCCTCGGGGGTGTGGGAGCTCCTTCCACCCCAGCTGTGCTTCCTGTGGTGAAATCACTAGCCCCACTGGGGTGTGTCTGGCCCCACTCCTCTTACAGATGTGCCCACTCCAGCCACAACTACCCAGCAGGTATCTCGAACTCCACAGCCCACCAGAAGATGATGCTGATTTTGGACCTCAGCCTCACAGCTGCCTCCAGCCCTCGCCACGTCTCGAACACCGTGTTACTATGGCACAAAACCACCATGTGGTGATACACAGCTGCCACTGCCCTTTCAATGCCAGCCCAAGTGAATGGCCTTTTTTTCCCTGCAGGCTGTCCCAAGATCGTCTTCACATTTTACATCATTTTACATGTTTTAGAGAAAGGTTTCAGAGTTAAATATGCCTGTATTCCACAGAGGCAGCTAACCCAGAAGACAGAGGAAGTTTTACTTTTACCACAAAGTAGTGTGATTGTTTTGGCTAAAGGGCCCTCACATGCTAAAATGTTACAGTGCTGTGACTTCTAAGCCTCAAGCTCAAATTCCAGTCCTGGTTCTCCTTCGCTGCTGCTTCACCTGCAATCTACATTGCAGCTGGTATGAACAGTGCCCTGTGCAGGTGGGCAGGACACATTTCCCGACCATCTTGCCTGGACACCTGTCATTTTCTAAGATAAGCCCAGGTACGCTCAGGGCCTGCTCTTGCTAAAGAACGAGCAGGACTTGTGCAGTTCCCTCTGGATGCCCAGCCATATAGTTTCTCATAGAAGACACCACTTCTCTGACCTGATACACCCTGGCAGCAGCAGACTGTGGCAAGGCCCAAGAGGTGCCCAGCCACTTTCTCCGGGGTCCCTCCTGGGCTGCAGGGAACAGGAGCACTTGGAACTGCCAGTGTGAGCTGGGGTAAGATTCGTTCAGCCACTTTTTGCCCTGCAAAGTCATCACAGAAAAATCCACCAAACCAAATGTTGTGTAGGACTGCAGTGTTCAATAAGATGGGTCTGTGGGTGACTTCCTGACTCCTGGGGTTAGCTGGACCCCCATCTCACCACAGGTGTCAGAGGGGCCACACCCAGGTCCCAAGGAGGCCCCGCCTTGGGCCTTCGCTTTTCCGCCTTTCCTTCATGGGGAGCTCTAAGGACGCAGGGAAGGAGCAGTGGCCCCATTCAGGGACAGCACTATTTGGAAGCCAAAATGTTCGGAGCTGCTTCAGAGGCAATCTGAGCAGCCTGCCAAGGAAGAACGGGCACTACTGAAACACCTACTGTCTTCCACTGTGACAGTTCATATTTCCCTAAATTCTCAAAGCAAGTTCCTCAATGCACATTAGTGCTGTCTTGATGATCATATAGAAGTTAAGCAGCTTGTCCCAGCCCACACAGCTAGGAAGTAATAGCTGGAATTCAGACTGATCTCTCCAGCTCTACCCTTTCAGGTGCTTTCTTGGCAAAAGACTTCAATCTCTTGTTCTGGAGGACAGCCAGGAAAAGTGACAGGAAAGGCCATACCTTTGGAGTAGGTCTGCCCAAGGTGTAGCTGCCTCCACCTACAGGCTTTACAAGGACAAAATGCATCTGCTAGGTCAGTTACTTGGCTGACTAAGACGAGTTGCCAGCTAACGGAAATCCAGATTTAACTGCCATTAAAGATACTTTGGTTCAGCTTATTAAAAACATATCTACACTGAAGGCTTCCTGATGGGCCCATTTTTAAAAATTCAATTATGATACAATTTGAATGGAGGGGCACAGGTGAGCCTATAGAAAGCCCTGAAGCATCAGCTAAGACCCTGGCCCTCGGCCCTGAGTGGGCATAAAGATCACCCTGAGGGCTGAGGAGGAAAGGCAGACCTCCCACTGTAACGGTACTGCGTGATGCTGATTCCGCTGGCTCATGGACCACAGTTTGAAAACCAAGGGAACTAAGAACACCTGAGCAGGTGGGCAGACTAAACTGTGAGACACATCTGGGAAGAAGTAACCCCTCCCTGGCTCGCCCTCTGCCACCCAGGGAAAGCTGTCCTCCCTTCCACCCTTCCACCTGTCTCCCTTCACTACGCAGACCTCACTTTCTCCTCTAAGCATGGGGCAGTGACAGTCTGTGACAAAGAACAAAAACTGTTCCCGATCTCAAGGCTCAAAAAGGAGCCATCTCAGCAAGCAAGGAGAGGCTGGGGCTGCAGCGTGTCTTTCCAGCCGAGCCTTTGAGGGGTGGCGGGTGTGGAGCATCCACAGGCAGTCTGAGCGCAGCCAACGAGTGCCAGGAAGAGAGGCTGGGCTGACTCAGGGCCTCTCTGGGCCAGAGTATTAATGGGACTGTGGCACCAAATCCAGGGAGCCATCCAGCTCAGAGCTGTGTAAAAGACAATTCCTTACAGTAGTGTCTATCCAGAGTTCAGGGTCAGCAAGGGCTAATGGGTTTAATTTGCACATTTTAAAAACTGTCCAATATGTGTCCAAGCTGTTTGCTGGAAGGACGACTTGTCTGGTGTAGAAATCAGCTATTCCCTTTGAAGGAGTCTAATGTTTGCTTCGAAAAATCACACTCACATACATGGCGATTTCTTTTAAATACTCAACACTAGGAGAGTCTCGTCAGTGTTGCCAATGAAAAAAGTCCTGAAGATGCCACGTTCTCGGTGTGCCTATCTTGGGATGTCTTCCTAACGTTTCAATGCTAGACCTGTCTTCCAGGCCTCCGCAGTTTGATTAATCATTCTTTGATTCAACAGATATTTTTTTGAGTTCCAGCTAAAACCCAGGTACTGTATAACTTAGAGGGCCAAAGTGTTTGCTCTCTTGGAGCCAATATCCGACTCTACCAGGCGGGGAGACACCAATGATCCCAGACCCAGAGCGGCCCTCTGCAAGGCAGCGAAGCAGTTCTTTCACACTGCATTTCAGGAGCCTGGCATGGCCTCAAAGGAGAGAAAGTGTCCTGCTGTTACGGTTTAGATCTAAAATGTTCCCTGAAACCTCAAGTGCTCATAGGTGGGGCTTCTGGGAGGTGATTTGATTGAAAGACTTAGAGCTGACTTGTTAGAATCTGGTCAGAAAAGGTAGGTCACTGGGCGTGTGGCCTGGAAGGGCTGCCCTCTTCCCTGCTGCTCCTCTCTCTGTCTCTGTCTCTGTGTCTGTCTATCCCTCCCTCCCCCTCCCTCCCTTTGTCCTTCTCCTCACTATGCTTTTCTCCTGTGCCATGTCACTCTGCCTTGGAGCCACCTAACTATGAACTGAAACCTCTAGAAACTATGAATCAAAACTCTTTTAATTTGTGCTGTCAGGGATTGTGTCTCACCAGTGAAAAAGTAACTGAGACATCTGGGAAGATGATGCTCCTATGGAGACAGAATGCAGAGCATCCCAGGCAGAGGGAACAGCCAAGGCAAGGGCCCTGTGGCCGATGGGGCACAGAGGAGCAGGGAGGCAGATGTGGCTGGAATGCAGAGTCGAGGCTGACTGAGGAGATGAGAGATGCCAGGTCACACAGGGCCTGTGGGCCACAGTACAGATCCCATCTTTACTATGCAGCTTTAGAACTCTTGTAAGCGGTAGAGTGATGTGATTCAATCTGCTTTTGTAAAAAGTCACTCTGGCTCTGCATAGAAAGCATATTCGGGGGCGGCCCTATTACTACGAGACTAGAGTAGTTGGAAGGTGATGGTGGGGGGAGTCTAGAGTGTCTGGAAACTAAATCACAGGTCTGAAGGACAGACTGAAAGCGGGAGAGGAGAGGGATGGATTGGGCAGCGCCGGGGTAGGTACTGTTCCTCTAGCTGGGGGCCACATGGGCCGGAAAGGGGGAGTGGCAGCGTCCTGAGTCTGCTCCAAGGTGGAGCCAGCCACAGGACAGATGAAGCAGGAGTCTCTGGGAGGAGCTGGCTGGCCATGCAGACAGCAGTCACCAACACAGGTGGTAGGCGATTTCCTAGGGAGGAGCTAAGTGTGAGGAGAAACCGGGCTGCCTCTGAATCCTGAAAAACTTGAAAATCAGGAGAATGTGGTGCAGGGACTAAAAGAAAAAGCTGCAGCCCACAGTGCCAGAGCTGTGGGAGCGCAGGTACGAGGAGGAGTAGATGGAGTCACTGTCACAGTCTCTGGGGACACTGACTGGGGCAGCTGAGGCATGAATGACAGCAACAGAGACACTGAGCACAGGATTCTTCCAAGAAGTTTGGTTGCAAAATCCCCTGTCCACCGGTGAGTGACCCAAAGGCCTTGCAGAGAGCAAGTGCTCGGTACCGGTCACCTGACCTTGGGATGATGCAGGAAGTAGATATTTATAAGCAAAGAGGTCCCCTTGTATTTGTATCGCTGATTAGGATTGGAAGTTCTTACAAACTAGGGAAAAAATGACTCTCATCTCTGACTTTCCCCCAAGGAAAGGCAGTTCTTTCTCTTTAGAGCAGCTTTTAAAAACCCACCTCTCAATTCTTGCTGCCAGCTCAAGTTTCGAGTGACTTATCCCCCTCTGTGAGATGTCAGGGCTTTTCCACCAAAGTCAAGCTGCACCACAGGCAGGCACCTGGCAAGGCACCATTCCCCTCCTCAGAGCTGCAGCTGAGCCCTTCCAGCATCTGGTAGGAGACCTCATGTGTGTTGCTTGTTGAATGTCACTTTCTATGGATGATGCCATCTCCGGGAGCCCACGAGTGACTGAGTGGTACCTGACAATGGTCTGTGGCTATCCATCTTCTAGCTGGCAGCCAACTGCTCCTGGTGGTTAATGGTGAATCAGCAGCTGCCTTCTAGTCCACCGCTGCTGTCACCTGTCACATTACAATCTCGGAGCCTGGATACAGACCTTCCTCTGCACCCCAGCCCATCTGGCTTTGTGTCTTCATTGCCTTGGCATTCCTTCCATGAGTGGGCACCCCCTGGATTTGTTGGCTGGTGAGGGGCTACTCTAGACTGTTTGCTTGCTGAACACTCCTGCTTAGGGCTCTGCCTCCAAAGAACATGAGGGACTCAGAGTGGGAACGTGGGGATGGAGCTGAGTGTGTAGAGTGTGTACCGGTTCGGGCAGATTCTTCTGGAGTGTGGCGTTGGCCAGCAAAGTGGAGCTGATCTAACTGGGGGTTTGGTGGATTCATTCAACTTACTGCCCTCTTCCTGAGCAGCTGGTGGTGACACATAACACCCTGTGTGTTAGCTTTTTGTTAGTGTGACAAAAAAATATGAGAAAACGAACTACAAACAAGGACGGTTCATTGTGACTCACAGTTTCAGAGCTTTCAGTTTCTGGTCAGCTGGCTTCACTGCTTTTGGGCCTGTTATGAGGGTGCACATCATGCAGGGAGCACTTGACAAAAGAGCTGCTGAACAGTGGCAGCCAGGAAGCGGGGAAGGAGCGGGGAGACCAAGTCCCAATGTCCCTTGCAAGGGCACACCCCACTGTGCTCCAGCACTGCAGGCAGCTGAGAACAAAGCCTTCAACATGTGAGTCTTTGGGGGATACTGAGGGCCAACCTGTAACACCTAGGAAGAGCACCCATAGGCTGCAAAGTGTGGGGGTGGGAAGCCCCAAAATCATCTGACATTAGGGGAGGACTGGAACTCAGCCTCAGGAACATGGAGAGGATTCTGAGACTGGTCAGGGTCTCTTATGTGCAACTGTGCCCAGTTCTTGAGAGGTCCAGTGAGAGGGAACCTTGGGGATCCGTGAGCACAACCCTGCCAGAGGACTTACTGCCACAGGCCACAGCTGGCCTCTGCCCACAGCAGCAGCTGTCATTCAACGCCTCTGAGTTGGAGTGCTCTGACAGTCTCTCTGCCAACATCAGCAGACTTCTGATTCCCGAGGGGTAGACCAGCACTCCAACCAAGTTGGAGCGAGATTAACATACAGGGAAGCTGACTATGAGCTTAAGCCATCCCCAGCCCTGGTCAGACTGCAGCTGACTGTGCCCCTGCTTTAGGCCTTGTGGGACTATTTGGCAAGTACAAATGTCTAAACAGCCTCTGCCCTCTGCCTCTCCAGCCTGGCCAGCTGCCCAGCAGAATAACCCACCAGCCCCTTCAGCTACCCTATTTTAGCAGTGTGCCAAGGGGCTCAGGTGTTTCTTGGGCTCTGAGAGCCCTTGCAAGTTGCAGCAAGCTGCCTGCCCAACTGCTACAGAAATCCATTAGGCGGCGAAGTCCTGCTGAGGAAAAACCAGTAAGGCAACCAAGGTCTCTTACCTTTGATTCCTTCTTCTTGATTTTCTGAGGTAGACAAGGTCTCTGAAGAAAGACAATCTGCTTGGTGGAGACACTCCCTTCCCTACAACACACGGAGCTGAGTGAGTCATGCTGCACCTGGAAGCGCCCCAAAGCTGACCCCCATGCCATGGTCCCTAACTTCATTAAAGCACAGGAAAGCTGCCACCAAACTATGACAGGAAGTCAAGAAGTGATCCTGCTCCCCTTTCTCAGCCCTCAGGCCCAGAGGGCTATTTCAGAAGCCTGACAAAGATTTTTTTGGTTGTCCCTGCAGTCAGTCGGCTTCCTTACTGGAAGTTCCATTTCCTTGGACTGGCCATGAAGCGGCAGCTGGTGTCTTAGCCAAATGAGGACATAATAGCTGCTTCACTGTGTCTCAAAGGGCCGGGGCATCTTCCAAGTCCATCTATGGTAACTGTGGCTGGGACAGACGGGCAGGCACACACAGGGCATGGCTTGCACTGGGGTCCTCCATCGAACGGCTTCTACAGGGATGCCAATGCCAAGCAGGCACTGGGATGGTTCCTGCTAATCAGCTGTGACCCACATTAACAGAACAGGCGAGAGATAGCTCACTTGCTCTGATACAGTGAAGGCAGGACACCGTGGAGCTGCCCGTAAAGATGACAGAGCATAAAGGAAAACACTGCTTTCTCCCACTTCTACCCTTCTGATTGCTTTCTTCATGTTTTGCAAACATCTTACTGCGTTTACCCACAAGTCACTGAGAAAGGCAGAAGAAAACATTTGCTTGGCACCTGTCTTGTGCCAGGAGCCAGGCTTGTGATTTTACCCATAAGGGCTCATTTAAGCCTCACCAAGATGCTCTGAGCAGCCAGCTACCACTTTTACAGTCTGGAAACGAATTCAGGAACAGGTTCTGACTCATGCAGGCAGAGGCCAGTGTAGATCTGCCTGGTCCTAAATCCTCTCTCCAGTCCGCCATGAGGGCTTATTTAAGGAGCAGGATGATTTAGCAAGTGTGACTGAGACTGGAACAGAACTGTCTGTACCTGGGCTTAGCTCAGAACCAGCTGGGGCTTTGGGTTCAAATTCAAACTGACTCAGAGAAACGGCATGACTTGACCAGGACGACACAGTTAGCTAGTGGCAAACTCAGGACTTGGGTTCAGGTCTTGGGGCCACAAATCCAGGATGCGTTCTGCTCCACTGCTTTGCCCTGTGCCTGTAAACATCTTCGATGAAAAATAATACGGTGGCTTCCAGAGGCCACAGGACCCTGGGTGGCCAGGCCAGACCAGACCTGTCATGACCCACTGTCAGGAGGGAGTTGTGTTGATGGCCCAGAGGAGGGACCCAGGAAAGGTACTGGGCATCATCATTGGCCTCCACCCCTAGTCCTCTCAGGGTCACCAGCCCTCTCTCTTACTGTCTGTCTCCCTGCAGTGGTGAGTGTGCCCTGGGACCCGGGGAAGCCAGAACCCTGAAGACCACAGGAGGAGTATCTGTTCAGGTCAGCAGGGAGGCAGCCTGACCCTGCACACTGAGGTTGTGACACACTCTGACTATGGGGCCTCAGGGATGTGACTGAACTTCTCTGAGCCTCAGTTTCTTTATCTGCAAAACAGGAATAGTATCTATGAGTATAATTCCACAGGAAGTTTAGGAGGACTAATTTAGACAAGACATCCCCAAATATAGAAGGAAGGCCTTTTAGGGTTGGTACGATGGAGCTCAGGGGATGGTTGGTAGAGCAGAGGGTGAACAAACAGCAACGAATATGAAATTGTACATAAGGAATGCCACAAGCAAGGCTCTAGACTCCAGGTTTTACACCCCTTTTGTGGGGCTACTGACTGATCATAAACATGATCAACAGCTCAACATCCCTGCCCATACTTTCCTCTAATTGGTTTAGTTAAAAAAATCCAACCTAAAGAATTTTTTCTTTATTCTGATTGAGATTTTGTATACAAAGTGCCTACCCAGCCTAGCACAGGACACACGGTCGATGCTAAATTTCTTTTTCATTGGGAGGGGCTCAGTCCTGACAGCCTACATAGCTAATCTTAGTCCTGCTGGGCAGGATTGATTCACTGGCCACGGCTCTTGGGATGGGGTAGGGGATGCCAAGGAAATGTTCCAGGTGTTGATAAGAGAGAAGGTGAAATACTGTTTCTACCATTCCCAGTTGGGATGTTTACATACACGGTAAGGTCCCAGCTCCATAGGTTTGTCAGAGCATTAAGTAAAGCTATCCACGTGGAATACGTCTCAGGAACAGCGCCTGGCACAGAGTAAGTGTCCAACACTAATAGCTAGAGTTACTGTTACCTTGTAGTCTTGACGACAGGCGTCGGCAGCACACAGGTAAGTTGCCAGCCATAGGCCGCTAGAGAGTTCAGCAGAGGCACATAGTCCGTCTGTACCTCCACCCCCTGGGGAAGAAAGGTCACAGTTAGCGTTCCTGCCACTCAGCAGGCCAGCGCAACAGCCCAACAAAGCAGAGAAGACACAGGGCGCTCCAATTCATGGTACAGTTTGGACCCAAACTGCCAACATGCGATTTCTTTCCAGGCCCCAGCACAGTCTACAGTCAGCAAGGAATTAGAGCCAAAAGATTAATCCATTAATTTGTTCTATTTTCTGGACAAATCACATCCTGTGAATTTTATTGAAGAAGCACACCTTGCCTCCAAGACACGTTGAGGGCATAGGATAACACAGCGTGTCCTAGGGAGTTAAATTACATTTGACAAATGATCAAGTCATTCGCATCCAGCCATAGCAGCGACACGTGTGTGCACGCACCTACTCACCCATGCACTTGCACACACAGAGAGGCACCTGTGTGATGCACCCTGCCGTCCAGGGATAAGCAAACGCTACCCATGCTCTACTTCAAGTCAGGAGCCAGGGGACTAACATTTGTCTTTCCACTTAAAAACACAGACCTGTTTGCGCAAGAAGACAAACTGTGTGGTCACTGCACTGGGGTTCACTATGGGGGTAGCCGGTCTACACCAGTCCCGTTTTCTTCCTCTGCACTCCTACCGTGTTTTATGTGTGTGCTGGGCTCCCAATCTCCATTAGGTGGCTTCTTTTTGATGGCTTCGGGAAATCTCAAACCTGTATTAGGAGTTGTTCCAGCCAATGTGCCCGCACGGGCTCTTTCTGCTAGTGTTTTGTAGCTGCAGCAGGTGCAAAGGTGGTATTGACACAGTCCTGCTCCTTGAGTTGACAGAACTCAAACATGTGAGTCACCCAAGTACAATGGTCTGCTGTCAGGGCCACCAGGTTTCAAACACCAGCAGAAGAGAAAAGGGTCCTGGCCAGGGTCCAAGCAGACTTCCTGGGCATGTGCAGATTACAAGACAGATCTGCGCGCAGGGTACGCTTCACTCGCAGGCAATGTGTATGACAGGCCTGCAGCACTCTGCCTGGGAGGGCCCGACCCTGGTGACACTATCCTCCGGCGTGGTGGGGGCCAGCCTGCTTGCGACCTTTGAGGAGCCAAACCAGCTCCTCCAGCTGCCCCAGACAGGGAGCCAGAAGAGAGGTGATGGATCCCCGCCCTGCCTCTTTGCTGGGCTTTTAAAGCTTCCCTAACTGGGCACCAAACCCGTGTGGTACCAAGTCACCAGAAGCCTTGGTAACTAATTTCTGTTTTGGGAGCCTCAGTGTCTCAACCGTATGAAATAAGCGTTGGCTACGCAGTGGTTCTTGAAGCCTGGCCCTCGAGCCAGCAGCTTGGGCCTCACCCGCGAAGCTGTGAACAATACAGATTCTGAGCCCAGTCCAGAGAACTGAACCAGGAAGTCTGGGAGAAGGCCCTGGAGTCTGCGCTTTAAAGAGCCTCTCCGTAGTTTAGCTAAGTACAGAGTCACGCCTAGAAAGTCTTCCAGGTCCCTTCTGGCAAAAGTAGAGCCTACAGTTCTGTGGCCAGAATCTATCAGTTGTCACCTTCCATCTAACCTTTCCCATTCCCCATGGAAGAAAAAAAATAGATGAATGTTTACGGGAACAACTTTTTCTGAAAGAAATCCTGCTGCTGGCGGGGGATGAAGGGGGCAGAGGAAAGGGAAAGAGAGAAAGAAGGAAAATTGGTAAAGGAAGAGGAAAGGGGTCTCGGGAGGGGAGGAAAGGACCGAGGAACAATATAATCAGCTGGGCGGTTCGGCAGAGGATGCAACTGTGGCCCCTTCCTGAAGGCCCAATCAGGCCAGAGATGGCGCAGCAGGCAGCCCAGTGGGGCTCTGGGCACACGGACATCCCCCTTCCAGACCAGGGCAGCCAGGATCCCCCTTGCTGGGCCCGGCCCTCACACAGGCTAAAGGAACAGTCCTCTGGCTGTTGTATCCAGAGATGCCCTGCCCCCATCCGTGTTCCCAGTTTAAAGAAAGGAGGGAGGAGAGAGAAATTTAAATCCACACTCTCCAGCTTTGCGAGGTTATGATTACTTGAGCCTATCAAGAATAACCTTCCCACTTTATCAAGCACTGTGACAAACCCGCCACAATCAGACAGTAGCCATAGCAACCAGGACAAGCTCTTGCGCCTCACAAAGCCCTGAGTGGCAGAATGGAGTCCTTTTATTGGTGGCTGTACCCCGGCCAGGTTTTCTCTGCATGTGCCCAGAGCTGCAAGACAATGAGTGACCCCTGCTGCACCCGGCCCAACCCGCCTGCTCAGACAGGCCTCACCAGGGCAGCTTCTATTTTGCTCCACGCTATTTCATTTTGTCACGGAGAAAAACAGCAGGATTTCTCCCAAACATTCCTTCCCCCCTCAGGGTAGGAGATGTCAGCCAGAGGTGTCACATCATAAAGACCAAAAGGAAAAGGGAAAGCAACAAAGCACAAGGGATGCTTGGGCAGTTCAATCTTAAGTGTTAATTTCTGGCCACCCATCCCTGGTGGGTTGATGAGTGAAATACAAATGGCAGGGGTGCGGTGTAACCCTCTGCCAGGCTCTCCCACCTCAACTGTTTGGGATGGTCTTGATTTAATTAATGTTAATTACGGGTTTTGGTAAGTATCCATCAAAGTCTCTTTGCATATTATCAGTGCAGTAAGAAGATGGCATTTCTAAAACACAGGATGAGCTCCATAAAGGCAGTGAAAGACACTTTTAAGTCCATTAGCTAAGAAGGTGGTAGGAAACAGATCCGGATGGAAGGCTTTCTTTGATCTGCTTTTTTGTGACATTCTAGTGAGGAGAAAAGAAAGCAGGAACAGCACTCAAAAGCCAGCCTGCTTATCAAATGAAAAGACATTTCTTTCTGTGAGTTGGAGCAAAAATTTTAATTAACTCTCCACTCTCCTGTGGTGGATACATAATCTCCCATCACACCTGGAGTGTTAAAAAAAAGTGGAGCATGTCCTGTGGTTTTTCAACTTGTATGAAAGGAATTCATTTGTATTTATGGCTCTTTTCCCCTTTGTTCCTTATAATTTCTCCAGTGGTTGCAAATCACCTACAGAAACAGACATCCCATACCACCTTCCCTTACCCTCTAAAAATTATGACAACACCATTGACAGCAGTTTGAACGAAAATACTTTGCGTCTTACACATGCCTGTAAATACAGGACTGTAAGCAAAGACAGGAATTCAACTTCCCTTGCCAAAAGGCACTAGGAACCCAGTCTTAGTTTTCATAGCAAACGGTAAAGGGCATTCTGCTTCTATTCCTTACTTCCACAGGGCTGAGGGAGCCCTAACTTCCACCAAGATGACATGAATGGGAAGAGGCCTGGAAAAAAATCACTCCTACATCTTTTGTAAAATTGCTACCGAAATGCTAATAGTGCGTAACACTTATTATCAGGATACATTTCTACTACTAATACTCAGCAATTTTCGATATCTTTTGATTTCCCACTCTGAGAAATACAGGAGTACTGTTCCCATACATATTTCTCACTTCATTCTTTGTGTCCCCAAATGGTTATTATGCAATTTTAATTAAATCCGGTTTAATTAAAAATGTGTTTTCATTCTCACACCTTTATGAATATTGCTCAGTGCTCTATTTTTTGCCATCAATAACTACCCCACGAGCCTAACTATGCAAGTCCCACATTTTTCCATTGGAAACCTTTCTGAAGGTCTTTGAACACTCACTCAAATCTAGCCTGACTTCTCTCTGTGCCTACGTTTGTTCTCCTCACACTGGCTTCTACAGCTAGTGTGTGCCTTTTTCTTGGTTTCTTCTCATTTTTCTGGAACAAATCCTTGGGCGGCTCCCTATGAAACAGTGGCCTGGAAGTCAGTTAAATCTGCATTTTTTAAAGATACCTTTGTCTTCACTTTAAAGTAAAAGTCTGAGTAAAGAAATCTGGGCTGAAATCTATTTTTCCCTCAAAAATCTGAAAGTACGGCTGCTCTAGCTTCTAGATATTGGCATTCCTAAGATAGTCTTATTACTATACTATGCCTTGAATGAACCCTGCTGTAATGCTTTAGAAGTCTTTAGGATTTTTTTCTTGAGACACTCCAGAATTTCAAAATATGCCTTAGGCAGGTCTTATTTACTCAAAGATTGCACACTTGATGGCCATCCAGTCTGAAGAGTCCTACCCTTCAGTTCTGGGATGTACTGTAGAGTGGTGTTTGAATTTTGGTTTATTTTTTGTTTCACTTGGTAACTTTCCTCCCATTTTTTTGTCTTCCTCTTTCTCTTTTCCTAAAGTATGGTATTACCATTTATTACCTATCCCCATATCCTTATTGCCTTTATTTTTACCTTCTGAGAGATTCCCTTCCAGCCTTTTTATTTTTACATTTTCTGCTGACATATTTTTAAGACCTCAAAGTTCTTTATGTTTTTGTTCCTTTTTTAAAAGCGCATCCTGGTTTTATTTCATGAATACATATATTTTATCTCTGTAAGTGGTTCCTTCTGATCCCTGCCTTACCCTTACAGTTACCAGGTTGCATGTGAGACAGATGGAGAACTCAGGATCTTACCACAGCATATTAGAACTTTAAACCAATTTCTTGCCTTTCAGTTCTGCAGTTCACCACTTCCTCTGTCCCCTAATGATTTGGGCTTTAAAGACCAGAGCTTTTCTTGGGTTCGGCAGCAGAAAAAAATAGCTCCCTTCTCATCCAGGGGTCAGTTTCCCCCACTTTCTTGAGCCAGTTAGATTTTTCTATCTTTTTTCCTGCTAAAAATTTGTTCCCTCTTCTAAAAATCACTCATCTTTACTTTCTCTTCTACTCTTTTTGTTCCCTTGGGTATGTGTCTCTTTAGAGTTACCCTCACTATTCTTGGTACTTACATTTTACAAACTCATCATCCACACTGACTTAGTGAATACTGAATCATTTCTCCTAGAGGAAATACAGGGTTAAATTCTTGTGAGCCTCTGGTCACAACCTGGTTTTGATAACTGATCAACACAAAACTTTATGTCTGTTTCTGATTAAAGAC